GGGGGGGGTATTTATACATAGCAGAAGGAGCTCATTACATCATATGTGTTGAGGTGAATGAATACAAGCTTCAGGCGGGGGTCATCTATTTAGCCGAGAACCTTCAGTAACTAATAATAGCTGCCTGATTAAATACTTCAGGAGGGCTGAGTCAGTGGAGGAGTACATACTGGAGTGCTTCATACAACCTTAAACTTGACTGAAAAATATGTAATTAAATGAAGCATCCTCTAATACACACAACAGACTGTGCTGTTCTTCATATTGGGAATACTGAATAAAGGAAAATGAAATGCTTACTTAGCGGTGAGCGAGTTGACAGCTGACTTCCTCTCATTCAGAGCTTCCTGGAGTTGGCCGATCTGAATGGAGGTGGACCTAATCAGACGGAAAAGAGGCGACGAGGTCATGGCTACAAAATGTGATTATCTGAGGGAGATGCAGAGTGATTGTTATGTGCATTAACATAGTAGATGTAGTGCCTCAGTAAGTTCTGCATCTCCCTGGGTTTATTTCCGTTCCACTGCACATATAAAGGGTTAAAGACTGATGTGGAGGTTGTGCCTCTCTTGGTTATGGCCAATGGCTGAACACAGTCACACTTCCACTCACCCGTTGGAGCGACCCATCTCCTCCCTCTGCCTGTCTATGGTTTCCATCAGGCTTAGGAACTAAAAGAGAGGAGGAACAACCACAGTCACCATCACAAACTTTATCCCAAATCGTTAGTACTTAAAGCTGGAGTGCGGAAGTTTCATCCATGGCGATGGAGCAGCAGCTCGGAGTCTGACCGGCTGTGCCTCGGAGATAAAGCGGGTTGTCGGTTAGATCCCCAGCATATCTGGTCGACATGTTGCTCCCGAAGGCTGTGCCATAGCTTCATGAATGTGCGTGAATATGAATTTGTTTCAGGTCCTGATGGGCGGCGTCGGGCTTAATCAGCATCGTGTGAGCTTGTTTGGCAATGGATTGAATGTAACAGACGTTCATATATGGAAAAGTCCATATTAACAATAACACTTATTCTTGTTTTAAAGAAGTCCCAAATGCCGTTTGAGTATTAAACACAGCACCTGTAGGATTTAAATGCAGCTGCAAAAAAGGTTTGCTTTGTCCTCATTGGTGACTGCACTTTACGTCAATTCCTGCCAGTTAAGATGAATTACGCTGTCATTTCTTTCAGACATGGTCACTATTGGAAGCCATTCTCATTGAACAGATTTGTCTTTGCTGTCAGCAACACACTGATGTTTAGCCGCTATAATGTTTACCATGTTCCCCATCACAGTTTAGCATCTTAGCATGCTAACATTATGTAATCTAATCGTCTAATGATCTAATCATCGTTAGATAACTACCACAACAACAGCGAGCACAGCTGAGGCTGATGGAAATGTCTCTAGTTTTGCAGGAGTTTGATAGAGGAAAGGTCATGGGATCATCAAAGTCAGTAGTTCATCATGTGGTGACCATGAACGTGTGTGCCAATCCATCAATTAGATGCAAGGATATTATATAAGTGAAAACATCCGGGATCCTCAAAGTAGTTAGCATCCATCTTCTTGGTACCGTGAACATCTGTACCAAATGTAAGGCAATCCCTCCCTCTTATTGTTGAGATATTTCACTTCAAATCTGAAATGTCATCCATGTGCTGGTGCATGAAGAAATGGGAGGGGATCATCCTGTGAGGACCATGACTGTCTGAACTCATTTTGGCCATCCATCTAATCGCTGTTGAGATATTTTCATCTGGACAAAAGAGGTGGCCGGACCATCAGACCTAAAACCCTCTGTATCTATCTGATGCTCATGGGGATAATGGATCTTCTTGTGATTCATTTAAAGTCTTCAAACAGCCTTCATCCTCCGGTGTTCTTGTTCTCACTCAGAATTATGTCATTCCTCAGTGTGAGGGTTACCTGCCGACCCTTCCCCTCCTTCAGTGTCTGAATCTCCTTGCTGAGGACCTGGGTCCTGCTGCGGCTCTCTCTCATGGTGGACTGTCTGTCTGAGTTGTGCCCTGTGGTCTGCTCTGAAAGGGTGAAGAGAGAGAAAGATGAGCGGAGGACGGCACGCATGATAACACATTATCATTGGGTGCATCATTAAAGTCAGTCCACATCAGAATAGTGTTAATACTTTCCCAGAAATGAGAGTAAGGATTATTCAAATTGAAGCTACAGTGTAACATCAACAGTCAGAATCAGAATCAGAAACCGTTTATTGCCAATGTATGTTGCACATACAAGGAATTAGTCATGGCGGGTGGTTCATAACATTAAACAATCAACAACAATCAACACAGTGCAAGAAATAAAAACATATAACATTTACAAAAGAATATAAAATAAAGTGCACAACAAACAGATACTATAAACAAGTATGATGAAGTGTATTGTTAAAAGTGTTGAGTGTGTTTAAATAAAGAATCAGGGAAGGGATGAGTAGGGGAGTGACCGGTAAGAAATTATCCTGAGGATCCTGAGTCAGTGGGGGTCCCGGGCTCTGTTCATGAGGCCGACTGCTGACGGGAAGAAACTGTTCGGATACTTATTGAGGTATTATTTATATTTCTAATGCAAAATAGAAAAAAAAATACAGTAACCTTATCCATGTATACTTATCCATGTACTTACTCACACACACACACACACACACACACACACACACACACACACACACAC